TAGGTAAAAAAAAAATTGAAGTAAATCACTATAATGGGTAAGGAATTCATAGTAAATTCCTATTGTTGGTGAAAAAATAAAGTAGATTTCTTATATCGGTTAAAAAAGTAAAGTACATTGCTATTTCCTTCAATTTACCTGATTTTAAATCATAAAGAAAACACATATAAAAGAAAAAACTAACCACATTTGTCTGAAGGGTCAACTAGACAAACTTGTGATGGGTTAGGATAGGTAACTTCAGGTAAAAACCTAAATTCAAAGCAATTTTATAAAACCAAATTTTAATAAACTCTACAATTATAATTAAAACAAGCTTGTGATGGGTTTGGATAGGTAACTTCAGGTAAAATCCTAAATTCAAAACAATTTTATAAAACTAAATTTTAATAAGCTCTACAATTATAACTAAAACTATAATTTACATTTAGATCTAATATAAAATTCCTATGAGAATTCATTTCATTCCTATAGACCACCCAAACATGATTATGCAATGTAATCACCCATTTTATTTTTAATTCGTCATAAGAAATTACAACTATGAAAAATAATTTTTTATTATATTACCTTAGCAGGAAAGCTAACAGTAGTGGAATGCGGACATGAGTGTATCATTGTCACAGCCGAAACCGGTGATACCATTATTTGGATCCAACTGTAGGGTTGCATAAATTTAAAGCATATATGAATTTATTAACATGAATATATGCCTAGATTATTTATAATGTAACATCCGGATTTTCAGGTATGAATCTTAAAGTAAATTATAAGTTTTTGGATGGCCACGACATGGTGGAGGAATCACCACAGCGTGGCAAGGCTACATGAAACACACATCTCTTTTAGCCGCCACAACATGACAATGTATGTGCCACGACATGGGGACTGATTATGGGAAAACCTTAAATTTTTGGGCTTAAGGCCTTATTTAAAGGAAGTGATAGTTAGGGTTTCATTTACCCTCAACCTCCATCAACTTCAAAAGGCTGTAAACAAACCTTAAACCCATATCTTCCATTCTTGAGCATATTTTGGTGTTTTGGTGCATTTGGAAGGAAACAGAAGAGGACCCTAGTGCAATAATCAAGGAAGCAACTCCGCCCACCTTTAAGTTCACCTTCTGGACCTTTGTAAGTCCTCTTTTTTAGATCTTGTTGGATAACTATCTTTAGATCTAAGTTTTATTGGCTTGTCTCCATATTATTGGTATTTTGAGTGGGCGGATTCAATAAAGTTTCCAACTTTATTGATCCTTGTAGCCCCAAGAGGGTTAGATGTTCTAGATCTGAAGAGTTATGTAACTTTGAGCTCATGCATGGACCTTAACGCCATCTATGCCATTTTTGACCTAGTTAAGAAAATGATATGCATTGGACATGCATGTCATTAAAGCAAGGATTTTTATGGACCATTAGGGACACAAGAAGCCTCTTGGAAAGTATAAGCTTAGGGTTTAACAAATTGATAGCTTAATCCATTAAGTTGTTCTTTGTATAGTTGTCCAAAAACACACACCTAAATCATGATTGCAGCAGCGATACACACACATACGTGAAGCACGAGAACCCACTGCACACGTGCACTCCCAGCTTTCCTCCCGACAACAGGCGATGATGGATGATGACCGGAGCAGCAAAAATTTGTTTGAGTGGTGGTGGCGATGGCTAGCAACGGCCTGAACGAAAGCGAAGGGGAAAATGATAGTGTTCGTGACCGAGGGGCGGTTGTGTCCGTTGCTGACCACAGCAGAAACCACGACAATAAATCTTTACTCGGTGGCTTCCGACTTCGACGTCAACGGTGCAACAATAGTATTCGGCGACGATGTGGTTGACAACGACGATTAGGGGTGAGGGGTGATAAGGGGCGGCAGCTGGAGAGATGGAGGCATAAGGGGGTGACAGATGATTGATTCCATTATCGTTAAGGTAGAAACCACTATATACCCATGTCCTAGTAACTGAGTGCCATAATGTCAAGATTAGTCCCTCCATCCAGAAATCATTTCAAAATAAGTCTACAAATTACCATTTAAACCCTTCCCCTTGAATTCCTTCACAAAACTAATCCTAAATTTACCTTTTTAACCCCCAACTCTCAATTATGACATATTCAGCCTTCCCCTCTTTTTTCTTCCAAATTAAGTCCCAATAATTACCACGGACCCCTACCTTCATAAATATTTACAAAATAAGCCTCAAATTTATACTTTAACCCACGAATAATCCAAATAATAACTTTTGGCACCCAAAATCAACGCCAACTAAATATTATGGATTTTAAGGCCAGAATTCATTTATTAATCTTTATCTATTTATTTACATAATAAAAGGAGTGTTACGGTTAGCATGTGAATTCTTTAACTGAGTTGAATAGGTTGGACTGAGTCGAGTTGGAATCGGATTGAGAACGTTGTCATGACGTGACCAAGGCCTGGTCACGACGTGAGTGTCAAGTAATGGAAATGTTGACTGTTGACTTTGAACTTGACCAGGGTTGAACAAGTTTGACTTAAGGATATTCTAGGTATTTTGGATTATGTTGGGAACTAGTCATTTGGTTGGATAGGTGATGGTTAAAGCTGAGAATTGGAGTTGGGACCTCATCAACTATCGTTCAGACTGTGAGATGAGTTTTCCTCACTGTACTTATAGGTCGAAGGAACCAAGGTTGGCCCATTAGATTGCTATCATGGTTTACCGTATGTTTCTATGTTGTAATGATCTATTAGATTTATATCTTGGTATATGGGATGTTGTTATTTTGTAGTGACATGTTAGACATGTATCCTCGTATATATAGGATGTTGCTATGTTGTAGTGATATGTTGATATGTATGTTGTCTGCTAACTGGTTATATGTTTATTTGTTATGTATATGTCGACATGTCACGTGTGTTTGGGTTGAGGTGGACCAGTGGAGACTGAAGGCCAAGAGACCCAAAGGACCAAATAGACTGAAGGCCTATAAGGTGGACCAATCAGGCCGAAGGCCTGGAGAATGGTCCAGATAGGCCGAAGGCCCGGTGAGGCGGTCCAGTCATGCTGAAGGTTCTATGAGCGGCCTAGATAGTTTGTAGGCTGGAGTGGCAGTCTAGTCAGGTTGAAGGCTTTGTATGCATGTTGTTGTTTGTTATGTGTATGTGGTGATACTTTGGGGGAACTCACTATGCTTCGTGCTTACAGTGTTGGTTATAGTTTCAGGTACTTCAGTTGACCGAGAAAAGCAAAGGTGTGATCGTGTACATCCTTCAAATTTTATGTTATTGGTCTTGGGAATACTCTAATTTTGAATAATACTTTTGAAACATTAGTTTTATAAACACTATATGGGAAAAATAGGTTGTTTTGAAAAGTTCAAATTTGTTATGATTTTTGGATTGTTTCATAGGGTTTCAAAATGATAAAAGGAGGGAGTGGAGGTTGATGGTAAAAGTGACATCAAGGGTTATAAGGCCTTTAAATAAGGTCTTATCCCTAAAAAAAAGGTGGTTTGAGCTCAGCGGCTCTACGCCCTACGTACGTAGTATGCCCTGTACTGCATGTAAATGTATGTGTCCAACTCTCTTAGCTACACCATGCGTAGTTGCAATCTATGCCCCGTGTAAGGACCGAAATTGAAAATTTTTAATACATTAAGCCATAAATGGAAATACCTAGGAACACTGGTGTTACATGACTAGGATAATGCTTGTTATATATGTAGTTGTAGGACACTTGGTGTCATGGTATGCTAGGCTAGTATGGTTTTACTTGTTGATTGTATCATACTATTAGGTGTCATGATTGGATAAGGTAATGATAATATTGGCCGATCGTAGAGTGGATACCCTAGGGGTCATATGTAGTTTAAATTAGATAGCCTGACAACTCTTGGTTGTGGTTTTAGGGTAGAGACACTTATTCGAATGTTTATTTCAATCTTGATTATGTATGGTTGTGCATTCATGATGTATTTTAGTGATGTTAGTGGAGACTTTGTTCGACTTACGGGAAAGTGGGGAGGGAAGATTCCTAGAGAGACTCTAGGAAGTATAGTGTTATGCATGTGACTAGACATATGTGTATGATAGTAGTTTATGTATAAGATGTATAGTGTTATGCATATGGCCGAAAATATGTGTGTATGATAGTAGTTTAGTGGAGTGGTGAAAAGTGACTTGGGAGTCTTGGAACAATCCTTGGAACATTTATAGATATGTGTGGAAGGTAGTATGGGATCATAGTACCAAAAACACAATACATACTTAGGTCACAAAAGTGTCACAAGAATATCAAGTTACTTGTAGGTGGTATTTCAGATTCAGTATGATGACTATTTGTGATGGAGGATCAGGCTCAGGTACGGACAACGGAGTTCCAGAAGGTTCAAGTGTGAATGGGAGGGATATCTGCTACATTCTTCAATCTTCGCAAATTAACCACCCATCTCTTTTATCTCTTAGTTGATATCTCCACTAACTTTTCAGTCAAAAGATAAAAAAAAATTATATGTAAGGGTGCAATCATACCATAAAAAGACCCTAAAAGAATAAATAATTCATGCCGAGCAATAAAGAGACAGATGATTATCAATCGAATGACAGTTCCAAAAAGGTGAAGTAGAGGTTTAAAGATCAGTCCATGGTATACTTTCATATTTGATTTTGTTATGTGTTTACACAATTATCCGTCTTCAAAGGGTAAAGAACGTACAAAACCAATTCTCGATCCTGAATATGCTTTCGATTGTAAAAGGAGAAAGAGAGTGTGCTTTTCAGTTTCAAAAGTTGAAGCACAAGTTGAGTGCATGAAATGTAAACAAAGGAGAAAAGGATGGAAAGACTAAAATATCCATATGTGTATGATACATGAGGGGTCTTGACTATCCCATCTTAACTACAAGTTAAGATGAAGGACCAAGAGTGCAACCAAACTATGAATTAGATGCGAAGAGTGCAACCAGTGAAACTTTTGAACTGAAGGTCAAACGTGTTATAAATGTCAAACATGCAGGACCAAAGATGTAATTTACTCTTATAGATATAGATATATTGAAATATTTGTATTTTGCGTCAAATGGGCAAAGGCAAAAGAGAAGTTAAGTGAAGCACGTTGGTTATTTTTCCTTGCTCACGCGACTTTCTGATATACACGCAAAAACTAACATCCCCACCAAATTGCCAGGACCTCCAAAATCTCCAGATTCTTGGTCAATAACTTCCCAAAATCTTATCAGAATGTACTTTTCCTTTTTCTTTATTCCCTAATCCAATATCTGCAAAACCCCAATGGATCGATTCATCTTCCAACCGAATGCACTGGAATACCTACAACAGCCACAACCTCCCATCGAAGAAATCTTATCGTCTCCGATCATATTATCTGATCGAATCCTTCGTGCCGTCAATGAGTCCAAATCACACAAACTCGATTGCAGCGACGCCGGTAAAAAGGTTCATCAGCTGTCTGAGATGCTCCGGTCAATCGTTCGATTTGCCAACTCCACTCCTTCCTTCTACGAATCTCCAGTACGCCGCATCTTTTCCGACATTGCCATAAACCTAAACAGTACGCTAACCTTAGTCCGGAGATGCCGCCATCGTAGTATCTTCCGCCGCTTCGTTACCTTTGTTGGTATTGCGGATTTCCGGAAGCTATTCAACCTTCTCGACATGTCAATCGGCGACATGAAGTGGTTGCTCGGTATATTTGATCGCGGTGGGGAAGGTATTGTTCTATCTTTACCTCCAATTGCTAGTAACGATCCGATTTTGGCTTGGGTTTGGTCTAATATAGCTTCACTTCATCTTTGTTCATTAAATCTGAAAATTGAAGTTGCACATGAATTAGCTTCATTAGCCCAAGATAGTAATCGAAACAAGGATATCATAGTAGAAGAAGGTGGCATTTCGCCATTGCTAAAGCTTTTAAAAGAGGAATCATCTCCTGACGCCCAAATTGCAGGCGCCATGGCACTTTTTAGCTTAGCTGATAATCAAAACAGGGCTAGGTTAATTTTCAACGAACATGGCGTCCCGATTATAGTACACGCTTTCCGAAATTCCCGAATAGGGGTTCAAATTGAGATTGCGAAACTGATAGCAACAATGGCAGAACATGATACGTTTTCACAAGAGGGTTTTGCAAGAGAAAATCTGATCGGAACACTTGTTACATTATTGTCATTTGATTTTAACAATCAAACGAAGAAAAGAAGCAAAAACGTGACACCACAGTTGATACTCGAGTTCAAGACTAACTGTTCTGGAGCACTATGGATGCTTGCAAAAGGCAGTGTCACAAACTGTAGGAAAATAACAGAAGCTAAAGGGCTACTTTGCTTAGCTAATCTTATTGAGAAAGAAAAAGGAGAACTTCAGATCAATTGTTTGATGGCTATAATGGAAATCACAGCTTCAGCTGAGTACAATCCTGATCTTAGAAGATCAGCCTTCAAGAGTAATAATAATTCTCCAATAGTGGATCAACTTCTTAAACTGATTAATCAATCAGATAACCCTGTAATCAAGATTCCAGCCATTAAGACAATCGGTCATCTGGCTAGGACTTTCCCTGCTAGACAAACTCAGGTGATTGGTCCTTTGGTCAAACAACTCAGTAATCGGAATCCGGATGTCGGAATGGAATCAGTGATTGCGCTTGGGAAGTTCACATGTCCAGATAACTTTCTACATTCAGAACACTCGAAGACTATATTTGAGTTTGAAGGAGTCCAACCACTTATGAGATTGTTAAGGGGGAGTGAAAGTGAGAAAACACAGTATCATGCTTTAGTCCTTCTTTGTCACCTTGCCATGTATGATGGAAACATTGAGCCATTTGAACAAGCAAGACTTCTCACAACTCTACAAGGGGCAAATAAGTCTTTTGCTTGTAATTATTCTGAGTTGCGTGAATTGGTTGCTAATGCTGGTTTTTTGCTTACTCATAGACAATCTTATACACGTTGATGAAAAGATTAAGCTGGTAAATACATAGGCTAACACTGTAATTAGGAAGAGATTTTTTTTTTTTTTTTACTTCACTTGGGACCTAAACGTGATTCTGGTTTGTGTTAGGGATAAATGCAAGAAATAGCCATGTACACTTTCATATATTTTGTTTAGATAGCATCCTGCTTTAATTTTTCTCTATTAATCACATCATTGTTAAATTTTATATCTATAACCAATAAATCTGTTGTTTAAAAGTTGTAGTATAATAAGATCATAATTTATAAAAGTCAACTATTGGTAACAGCAGTGTTGCAACAGAATGGCAATCATTATATATAAAAAAAGTCAACCTGCCCAACTATTTAAAGAAACCTAAAATGAAATCGAAGATGAATTGAAGATGGCTAAGTTTCCTCCACACCTGGTAATTCTGGTGTCTGTCTTTCTATTATTACTTCATGCCACTTCAGGTAATAAACTAGTTTAGTTTAATGCTTAATTAATTAATTTATTTATTTTTGTTTTGTTTTGTTTCACTACGAGCTAATTATATTTATACCAGTGTTAAACAAACAAATAATCGATGTAAAAAATAATAAACATTGGAAGAAGTTGTGAAGTATGACTTCAGTTTTATGTTTACGTATCCATTATTTGTTCAAAATTATGTATTTTGATGAATAATGATGTTTAAAACCAATGGCTAATTTGTTATGTACAATTAGACGATGGTTACTCATCCACTGAAAGATCGAGGAAACTAATTCAAGCTTGGGAGAAAGAGATCATAGTTTACAGAAGTCCAAGAAAGCTAAGAACAAGATCATCTCCACCACCACCAAAACCAAGCAAAACTCGAAGTTTCAATATAAAAAGCTTGTAAAAAATCCCGTTTATTTATATCCATGATGAGTAAATTTAACAATTCAATAGAATTATAGAAATCATAAACATTTTTAGCAATAACCGTTCATTATGCACATATACTCCTATTACATATTAACTGTTAGTGAAGCTTATAAATTATACATTGATCATTGGTGTTATATTCTCCTCAACATGCTTCACATTCATTGATTACGACCCATCATCTACGTATCCCTCATGCCTTTGGGATTTTTTTACAATATAAAATGAACAATATGTTTAGAATAAAAACTATATATAAACTGAAAGTACAAAAACCAAGCTCAAGTTTGACATTATTCCCTTATATGCTCTTTTTATGCCAACTAATGTAACTAGGATCCATAATTGCATGTTTTTATTCTAGTTTTTGGTTTCTCTAGGTTGCTAATCTAAAATGGTCAAATATTTTTTTTAAAAACATATGTAAGATTAAATATCAAGATTTGTATTGAACGTTATATCTTCGAAATGTGTTAAGCTACATATTAATTGCATTTTCATGCAAATTACTTCATTACAAGTGTAGTTTATTTGTTTTGAAAATTGTTACTAAATGGAGAATGATTGGTGTTATTTTTTATATAAGTAATTGTGTAACCTATTTGTCTGTTGTTTGCTTTCTCGATTCAATATTAAACAGTTGGTTTTTGATTTAAGAATATATATATATATATATATATATATATATATATATATATATATATATATATATATATATATATATATATATATATATATATAGTTATTAAATAACACATACAATAAAATCAAAAGGCAGTATAATTATAAAGAAAACTTGGGTGCAGATTTTATAGAAGAACAATTACATTAAGGACGCGAACAAAGACAAAGTTTGTGAGATGTTGCATTACTCTCATTTCATGAGTTGAACATGAAACTTGGAAAAGCAAATTAAAAAAAAACGTAGTAAAATGTTCTTAAATCATTTCACATTCAGCAAAATAAATATGATATTATGTTTTGACCCACTAAATCTAAAGTAAGTTTAAAGACTTTATTTCTATATTTGATAAATTTTGAGGGGACAATTTGCAAATTTATTAGCGAAATTTACAAGATATAGCGGTGGTTATTATTTTTGTTGGGTAGCTACGCACATTGACACCGGTGTAGGTCCGCTCCTTTACATAGTATGTAAAGATAAGTAAAAATAATTAAAGATAAAGATCATTAACAAGTCTATATTCACTTGTTCGTGATATTAATATGCGTCACTCATGGGGAAAATACCACATGCATGAATAATAAGAGTTTTCATTTACATAGAAGGTCGTTAGATATATTTATCTAGAATTGTGACTACCACCACGACTTTGGTGTAAAACCAGCACCATGACTCGCATAGCTAAGAAAGAACACCTATTTTTGGATTGTATTTTTATTGGCATCACCTAGTTTATTTCACCAAAATCCAGTATGTGAGCCGTGAATGGAGGTCATGGGTACAAGTAAAAGGACGTTTGCAACAAATATAGGTTTTCACTCGAACATAAAATTCTCAACATTTGAGACTCAGAAAATTCTTGGTTTCAAGTAATGTTAACTTGAACTCCTTCCGATTGAGTTTCATTTCATCCGTACTTTTTGTTTCACACTTAAAATCATTAGTGGGGGTGGAATTGGTACGGTTTTTTTTCTCCAAATCGGGTACCGTACAAACTATAGTTGGTATAATATTTTTGCTATCAGTACCGTACCAAATGTATTTGGTACCAATTAATTTGGCTACCAACAATTTTGGTTGGTATATATTGGTATTTGGTATATACCAAAGTTTTTAACTAATATGTATTATACATTAATATAAGTTGAATTTGTGAACATTTGACCGTTGCTTTACTCGCTTCTGGTAGTATTTTCTTTTTTGGAAACCACTAAAACGATTAAAATAGGTTCACCCCTAGCAAGTTGATAGAGGAAACAAATGGTAACAGTACAAGTAAAAAGAAATGAGAAGTTAGTATTCATTTTTAAGTTTTAGTGTATGTATTACCGATCTCGTGCACATCAAACAATAAGTATCAAGAAATTTTTCGGTCAGTGTGTTAGTTTAGTAATTCTAAGACTTGTTAGTTGTTATTCTAATTAAAACATGAAGATATGAGAACTCATATTTCTTTGTATTTATGAATTGATGTATATATATATATATATATATATATATATATATATATATATATATATATATATATATATATATATGTTGGTTGGTATGGTACAACCGTGGTATTCAAAATTTCATATTGTTACCGTAGCAAGACTACTTAATTGGCATGGTATTACCAATCAAACATATTGGCTACCAAACAACTTGGCTACCAATTTAATTGGTTCGGTTGGTAACATGTTGGTTGGTTCTCTATGGTACATATTTGCCAACCCTAATCATTAGTATGTAGGGTATATATATTCCATTTAAAAAATGTAAATGATCAATAAGGACAACGGATGAGACATGATTCCATGCTCCTAATTCTCCTTTACCTTTACCCCTACTCTAGAAAACCATATTTCATGGGTGAATACATTTAACACGAGAAACACCCAAATATCATATATTGAAGGTGAAAGGACAAGTATAACGTTGACTCTTTGTTGTGTAGCATGAAAAATGGCCTCTCTATGGGGCATTAGAGAAATGGAATTTGTGGCTTGTGATAAGGGTCAAAAGCCAAAAATTGTGGGTTCGGTCCCAAACATGATCACACACCCACAAGTTATTCTAACACAAACTGTGCCAACAGAATGGGGAAGAAAGCTTTTAAACTTTCTTCTTTAATGTCCTCTAGATGGAAACAACACTCAAGAACATTATCTCCCTCCTCCCAGGGCTGACCCAAGCCCAGGGCGAGCTACGCTACGACCCAGGGCATCAAATTCTAGTAGGGCATCAGTTTTTCAAAGCATGTTATAGGTATTATTTATATTGGGCCACATCTATTCGGTTAGTCCAGTAAAACCCACGTCAAAACGTCAGGGGCAACCGGTGGAGACCTAATTAGCGCCAACTATCAATTTCGCATGGTGATTCTTCGATCTAAAACGCACTCCTAATAATTGAAGAGGAATATTAGACTAGTACTTTATGTATTGTAGAGGGTACCAATGTGTAATTTAGTCTAGTATGTATGTGTGTATATATATATATATATATATATATATATATATATATATATATATATCAAATGAGAACACTTAAAAGGTTAAGAACGCGAGATCAGTTCTGGACCAATTATTTTATAAGAGTATATTAGTAACTTTATATAAATATTAATTAATGATTTCCTACAATCTAGGGATAATGATTTTAATTACCTAAACAAAATTAATATTTCCTTTTAGTTAATGAAATATATATAAATATATATATATATATATATATATATATATATATATATATATATATATATAACTATTTTTTTTATGATTTTTCCCAAAAATTATTTATGACCGTGTCAAAAAAATTACCTAAAAAAATTAATATTTCCTTTTATATTAAATTTGAAAAGAAAATCTTAAAAGAATATTATTTTCTACTATTTCACGTTTTTTGTTTTTCAAAAAAATAAATAGAAATCCAATCCCAACTCAATACACTTCCATTCATAAATGAAAACACATCAAATTACAAATAATTCAATGCATTTTTCATAAATTGAAAATAAAAAATAGTGTAAAAATTATCATTTTTTCCTAAAATGAATACCTCTAATCATAAATAACTACACTCATTCACATGAATACACTACTATTCATAAAAAAATACAATCATTCACACACGAATACATTGCAATTCACAAATGAATACAGTGTTATTTATAAATTAATACACATTCTATTATAAATGAATACACATGCTATTCATAAATGAATACAATCATTCACACATAAGTACAACGTTATTTATAAATGAATACACATGAATAAGTTCATAGTAGAATGACCACAAAGCCCTTGCTTCCAAGAATTGACAAAATAACAAAAAATAACTTCATTTAAGGCCTGCCACATAAGAAAATCTTCAATCCTATCACCTCGCATATCAAACCAGGCGCAAAATTCATCAAAAAAAACTTATATATTCCAAAAATGCCCTCGCTCTTTATCCTCCCTGTACAGTTAAAAAAATCTTTAATCCTTGTGAACCCACCCATCTTCTTGAATCTGTGTCGGTTAATCTGAGTCAACAAGAACCAACCCACAACCACCGCCATAGAATTCTTAACCTTATTCCCAAAATACCCTTCAGTCAAAAAATCCCCATATCGATCTCGCCTTGAACAATTAATTCTTCCCTCTTTCGCCATATAAGTCTTATCCAACCAACCAATAAATCCATCAGAAAGATCAAACCAGGACCAGACATGTTTAGAAAAAGAAAAGTACCAAAAATGCCCCTGGTTAATACCACTCCCAACCGAACGCACATAATCATCTACTTTTATTTTTCTTTCCACCCCCAGGCACCTGCGAAAAAAAGAAAGCATCGACATCACCCAAACACCCATCTAAACCTATTTATTAAACTTCATTGATTTACATTCAAAATAAAAAGAAAAGAGAAGAGAATCATTACCGATCGAAGCAACTGCCCCATCGAGACCGTTTCCTTCATTCCAATTGAGACAGAAGAAGCGCCCTCCAGCCGCCATTGTTGTTTTCATTTTCTCACCCAATGATTGATCGCCTCCCCTCCTTGTGGCTGCGTGACCCCCGAACAGCCCATCCACTCATCTTCTATCGACCGGAGCAAAGCACCCACCAAGACCGACGACTCACACCTCATAGCCGGAAGAGATGAGCAAAACTTCGCTGCTTCTTCACACCCAGCGGCGACTGGAATGAGAGGAGGCCCTGGGGTTGTGAAAAATGCAGAAGCAGGCATATAGAGGGAGAGAGAGAGAGAGAGAGAGAGAGAGAGAGAGAGGGGCGGCTTGAACCTAGCTCTCTCTCTCTGTGTATATATATATATATATATATATATATATATATATATATATATATATATATATATATATATATATACCCGATTTTTGTCAAGCCTCCTAAATTAGATTTATAGGGTTTCTTTCATGCCATGTAGCCTATCTTGTAACGACCTAATTTTTACAAAGATTTTTTTTCATTTTCAATTAATTAAACCAACCTCATAAACCATACATTCCCAAAACATTCGTTTTCCAAATGATATTTCTTACATCATTGTTTTTCTTTTTGAAAACATCAGAGGGTCCCAAACATACAAAAAAGAGAGATAGAGTGCACGCCACGTCATCACGCCTTGCCCTTTCCCTTGACCTTGGGCTCAGAAGTACCTGAAACAAATCAACAACCTGTAAGTGAAATGCTTAGTGAGTTTCCCAGAGCATACCACACATAATTACATACACATATCCTGATAGCAGATAAAGCTATAAACATACCACATAAACCATGTAATACGATTCAGCAAGAATGTCATGGGCTACCCCACATGGTCTTTACCTAGGACTACCATGGGCTACCCCACATGGTCTTATATCCAATGCCATGGGCTACCCCACATGGTCTTATATCCAATGTCATGGGCTCCCCCCAGGGTCTTTCATGCCAATACAATATCACATAACATATCAATTAATAAAAAGAATGGCACACACATAACATGTTCACATAATGGACCGACCTTGGTGCCTTAGACCCATAGGTATGGTGAGAAGACTCACCTAACACAAATGTTGAACTGACACTTTGTGACCAAATATGCCCCACGTGCTGCTCCGACTCAACTGCCTAAAAGTGTCATACTATAACTAGTCATTACCCCCCCCCCCCAAAAGTCAACCCTAGTCAACTTCAGTCAAGGTCAAGTCAACAATCCATGTTGACCCTAACTCGCCGAGTACATCTAGTGACTTGCCGAGTTTCTCGGGATATAGCCCACTCGCCGAGTCACCGGGGTGGCTCGTCGAGTTCCTAAGGTTTGATCGAAATTCTAAGACCACTGATCGAGTTTTCCCCTGTTGCGACTCGACAAGATCACATGCATCATCAGCTGGGGAAAACCTTAACCGACTCGCCAAGTTGTTCCTTCAACTCATCGAGTCCACGACAATCTTCATCGGACTCGCCGAGTTGTTCATCCAACTCGGGTCCATAACTATCTTCATATGAATCGCCAAGTTAACCTTGCGACTTGCCGAGTCCCTATAGTCCTTAATCCATATAGACTCTTTTAAGCCATGTAGTGGCTCCAAATTACAAATCCAAGCTTCTAAGGCCTGCTTTTCACATAAAGTTGCAAACTTTACGTGCATGCATGGCTAAAAAGGCTTTTAATGTCAATCCAAACTCACAATGGGGTTTTACACTCAAGGAAAGCTTCATTCAAGGCCAAGCTCAAAGCTTTATAACTCTAGAACCCAAGGAGGGTCTAGATCTGAAGTTACAACTTCAGATCTAGCTGATATCCCACATAAACCTCTCAATCAAGCCATAAAAACCCTAAATCTCAATCAAAAGAGGTCTAGAAGGAAAATGAAGTGAAAGTGGTGACTTAATACCTTCAATAATGCTAATCTAAGGTAGACTTTTGATTCCTTGCTCTTAGCCTCTTGCCCTCCAAGCTCTTCTCCTCAAAGATCCACTCACCAAGGCTTAAAACACACAAGGAAGAAGCACCACACGAATTAAGGTTTTCTTAGACTCTCAAAGGACTGTAAAGAAGCCAAGGGAGGCTTATGATTCCTTAAATAGGATGCACAACCCCGAGATTTAGGGTTTCATTTGCTAGCTCCTACTCGTCGAGTCCCCTCTTGGACTCGGTGAGTAGGTCATTAAACTTCACGGACCAACCCGCTACTACTCGATGAGCAGGGACACCAACTCGTTGAGTAGATCTAAAAACTCAAAGGATTCAATATTATTAATACCTGAGAATCAGGACGTTACAACTCTCCCTCACTTGAATTAGGCTTCGTCCTCGAAGTCTACTGATCCAAACAAATCCGGATAGAACCCTCGCATTTCATCTTCCAATTCCCAAGTCCATTCGGAACCCTTTCGATGCTGCCATTGCACCTTTACCAACTTCACCTCCTTATTCTGAAGCGACTTCGTCTTCCTGTCTAAAATAGCAATTGGCCTCTCAACATAATTCAGGCTCCCATCCAGCTGTATGTTATCCAAGGATATGACTGAGGACTCGTCGGCAACACACTTCTGAAGTTGAGACATGTGAAAGGTGTTGTGAATCCGACTAAGATCCTCTGGGAGCTCTAAACGATATGCCACTTTGCCCACCCGGGCTATGATCCTGAACGGGCCTATGAACCGAGGCCCCAATTTACCCCTCTTACAGAACCGGGTAATCCTTTTCCAGGGTTTTTTCAACAAAAAAAAAACATGATTGAGGTTTTTTGAACGATTTTAAAACTTCGTTGGTCTTACAAGTCCTTTTCCGATATTCAATTACACGTCATAAGTCATGCCATTCGTTGACTTTCATTAGCCAGTTGACCTAAAATGAGAAGTGAACGAATTGGATTTTCTTGAACACACAAAACACAATTGAGTTTTTTGAATGGTTTAAGAACTTCATTGGCTTATGAATCATTTCCCTTATTGCTTAGTGTCTTCATTTCGTCGTAAACAATGTGTTCTTGAAAAGACTTTGAAATAATGCATGTAATCTTAACCCATCCAGAAATGTTGATTTATTCTAACATGATCTGTGATCATTTAAGTCTTTAGGAGTTTGGATATTGTCTCACATCAAGAAAATAGAATAAGTTCATATTTGAACACCCACAATCTTTGACTTCATGATGCATACAATTAATGGAAGACTCTTTTTTTTTATTTAGAAAATTTTCTTTTTCCTAGATAACCAATGATTCTGTTGTTATCAGAAGCATTACCACCATCGGTCCCGACCCTAGGATCCATATCAAAGTTTCCTTTGGTTTGACAGTAAAAATCAGGGTCGTTCCAAACATATTTTAGGTCCAGGCGAAAGCAAAAAGTTAACCCTTAAAATACACAAATTTCATTAAGTTTTTATAACAACTCAATAATTGTAAGAAAAATATTTTTACTATCTTCTAAATATAAAAATTTCAATAAAAAATTTGAGCCCCTTTAAAAGATGGATCTTGGACGGTCGCCCCTATTGCCCACTCTCTGGGACGGACCTGGTAAAAATGGTTTCGGCTGAGAAGAAAACGAGGAGGGATAAAACATAATTGGTGTCACGGTGTGAAGGAGAGTCGCTTTTGTGTTTATCTTTTTTAAATTAAGAAAATTAAATTTACAATCTTTTGCTTCATTTAGTAGATATTTTTACTAATACCACCTTCAATTCCAACTAAAAACTCAGTAGCTCAGCCCATGATACGTACTGAATCTAATAAATTTTACCAAATAATTGTCTAAATATATTTTCTGCGCTTTTTACGTGTTGTTCCGTGTTCTGTTGGTCCTAGAAAAAACGTGTTGTTCGGTGTTAGTGTTAGGTCTAGAAAACTTTCATACAGTCATCCTTTAAATTCGTCCACATGCCATGCCAAGCGTACACCTTTTAGATTTCAAAGTCAATTTCCACAAAGAGCAGCTCTTCTTCGAAAAGGCAACCACAACAATCGAGATAAACTACCTGTACATACTAGGTAAGAATGCACACATTTATGCTACCTATTTCAATAATGAGTATGATGATTTTGTTGATCTATTTGAATCGAATTGATTTTTACAACATTGACTATTAGTATTACCATTTTATTTTTTGTATCTTTGTGTCTGTAGACCACGGATATGTTGCGAAGTGATAATTCATGTTGAACAGCTCTGTTAACTACCTGAACAAAAACACCTCAATCATTCGATCAAGACAAATTACCCTTATAAAGATGAAAGGATCAGTACAGATAACATCATCTGCTATCATCATAATATTACTTCTAGCAGTAGATAGATCAGAGGGGGATCCCAGATCTCAAGTCCTTAACTTAACATGTTCTCAACATTGTGCAACCTCTGCAAACTTCATTCCAAACTTTGTGCACGTGATGGAGGAAATCAGCACCCGAATCCAAACATCACACACAGCAACAACAGTTATGGGCACAGGACCTGACCTTATCTATGCACTTGCTGAATGCTATGGTGATCTTTCACCAGATGATTGTATGATATGTTATGTCGTAGCACGTACAGCTATTCCTGTTTGCTTGCCTTGCGTTGGAAGCCAAGTGTTTCTTGATGGTTGCTTCATACGAACACAAAACTACAACTTCTTTGAGGAGAACGTAGGATCAAATGACATAGTAATTTGTGGGAATACAACAAGGTATGATGTGTCTTTGGATTCAACAATGCAGGTAATCTCAGATGCTGCAAGGGATGCACCAAAAAACAGGGACTACTTTGCAAGAAAGGTGGCATTGTCAGGGACAACAAATGAGTCTACCTATGTGTTGGCGGATTGTTGGGGGACTTTGAATGAGAGTTCTTGTAAAGAATGTTTGGAGAGAGCATCTTCTTCTATCTTGCAATGCTTGCCTTGGTCTGAGGGACGTGCATTACATATTGGATGTTTTATGAGGTATTTTAACACCAATTTTCTCAATGATGACCCAACGAGGGGTAATAATGGAGGTAATTAAGTTCAAGACATGTTTCTTTATGAGTGCATTTTGTATAGCCATTTATGCAAATCCTTTCATCAGAAAAATGGATCAACAGGAAATGCTAAAAGCTAGCTCATTCAAAGGAAATGTGAAAATCAGCAATTGAACACCAGAACCGATTTCAGTCTGAATTTTGGCCACACAATGGCTGACATCAGCACCAAAATGGAAACTTCACATTTTGGGACAACAGTTACAGGGATAAAAGCTGATAAGGTGTATAGACTTGCTCAGTGTTATGGTGGTGTTTCTAGCCGTGAATGCAACTTATGCTCTGCTAAAGCACTTACTACTATTCCTGGTTGTTTGCCTAGTACAGGTGGCAGAGTTTATCTCAGTGGTTGCTTTATGAGGTATGAGAATTATAGCTTTTTTGGGGAGCATACAGGGGAAGAAGACAGATTTATATGTGTGAATAAAACAAGGAGAAACAATGCCTTTGAGCAATCAACCTCCAAGGTTGTGTTTCAAACAGTGGAAGCTGCACCTAAAAGTAAAGAGTATCATGCTGGAAAACAGGCTCTTATTTCTGGGACAGAAAATAAATCAGTGTATGCAATGGCTGATTGCTGGCGTACATTAGATATAGATTCTTGTGCGTATTGTTTGCAAAAAGCAGCTACGTCCATGTTAGGCTGCTTGCTTGTGTCAGAGGAGTATGCATTGTATGTTGGTTGCTTCATGATGTATTCTGACTCCAATTTTTTATATCCTGATCATAACAAACTCTCTAAAGGTAAGTCAATTGATCATTTCTAGTTTCTATTCTTGGTAGGGGTTGTATTTGTATAAATGCTCTGTTAAAGATATATTGGAGGTTTTGGTTGATTGATCATCTAATTTCTCCTGTTTATGGTATTGGAGGGAAAATAATAGCTATTGTAATGGTTGTTACTTCTGCTGTAGCATTCTTAATTGCGAGTATTATCGCTTTTTATGCATGGAAGCGCAAAAATAAATCAAAAAGAAGAAGGCAAGGTATGAGTCGTCTCTCATTCTTTGACTATTATTAGGTTGTGTATGAAAGGAAAAAAAGATGTTGATACAAGTTGTGGAATGTTTTGATTTCCTTAACATTGATTTTAGGTTCTGATGACACTCAATTGTTGATGATGGTGAACAATAGTAGCTTCAACTTCAAATACTCCACCATTGAGAAAGCCACGTGTTGTTTTGATGAGGCGAACAAGCTTGGACAAGGGGGATTTGGAACAGTATACAAGGTGTATATATATATTTGATCACAAAATTAAAACCTAATTATTCATGTCTTATTGTATATGATTTAGAAGATTCTTGGATTATGTTGTTTTACTCAATGCAATTTGTGACAGGGAGTCCTTCCAGATGGAAGAGAGATTGCTGCCAAGAGACTTTTCATCAATCAGCGACACAGAGCAGGGGACTTTTATCATGAAGTCAACATCATTAGTAGTGTTGACCACAAAAACCTGGTCAAACTAATAGAATTCAGCTGTTTGGGGCCTGAAAGTATTCTCATTTATGAATATCTACCCAACAAGAGTCTCAATCATTTCATCTTCGGTGAGCTTCATGACTTCCCAAATTCTCCAAATACTTCAATTTTTGGTATTCTGCCACTCGATCATGATCAAGTGATGAAAATAGGGTTTGATTCTTTGTGAACTTGTTGTACAGATGCAGATAGAGGTAAGGAACTAAACTGGGCGAAAAGAATTGATATTATTGTGGGAATAGCAGAGGGTTTAGCCTACCTTCATGAAAACAGTAAAACCAGAATCATTCACAGGGATATAAAAGCTGCTAATATCTTGTTGGATTCAAGGCTTCGTGCTAAGATTGCTGATTTTGGATTAGCCAGGTCCTTTCAAGAAGATAAAAATCATATTAGCACTGGGATTGCAGGAACACTGTAAGAACTTTTATTTTTGTTTTTCTTCTTCTTCTTCTTCTTCTTCCCAATTTGATGTTCAACTTCCGTTGAATGAGAATGATCTTGAATAAGAAATTGAACATTGCACAACTAGTCCTATGCATGCAGGCTAAGTTAAGATTTAAGAAGAAGCTTTAACTAATTTCTCCCTTGTATTCCAATTTAAACTTATAATCTAGATGAGGAGGGATTTTCTCAGTTAAATTTGTTTACTGTTTGCAGTGGATATATGGCTCCAGAGTATATACTGAATGGTAAATTAACAAAAAAAGTGGATGTGTACAGCTTTGGTGTGGTTTTGCTTGAGGTTGTTACTGGAATCCCAAATAGAAGAATACAGACATCAGAGGACACTCACAGCTTGCTTTGGATTGTAAGTACAAATTTCCCACTAAACAAAACATATCATACTTTGAATAATCAATCCTTAATGCTGTTGACTCATTAACATTCTCAGCAAACTGTAATCCATAACATTCTCATATAAGTAATGTTAGAAAATGAATATACTTAGCCCATGACATGTACAATTATTTCATATAGCATTTTGAGTAGCTATTGATGAAATCTAAACATTCAGGCATGGAGGAATTTTCGGCAAGGAACATTAGAGGAGCTTTTTGATCCAAACTTAATGTTGAAGAATGACACCAGTAGCAACATGAAGAAGGAATTAAAAAGTGTGATACACATAGGGCTTCTTTGCATACAAGAAGTTCCATCACTAATACCAACCATGTTTATGGCTCTACAAATGTTATCTAAAAATATTGAACCTTTACCTTCACCTTCTAACCCCCCTTGTATACCTTAAAGTGACACAGAAACAAATGAGTTTGGTCAAATCCCTGCTTTTAGGCATAGATTAAACAATCCTGCTTCACTTCCTACTATTACACATACTTCTTTTAGTCCAAGGTAGATATATATATATATATATATATATATATATATATATATATATATATATATATATATATATATATATATATATATATATGTTGTACAAATTTTAGAGAAAGAATCATCACTTTTGTAATGATGAGAAACTTCGTGTAGATTGTATAAATATTAATCCTAACTTCATCGTTTTGCCATTTCTGGAAAGAGAGAATATGATTGGAAGTAGACATATTGTAACTCAATCACATGTTCTTATTTTTTTGTAACAAGTTGCGGGCTGTTTATAATCTATAAATGGAACCATCAGGAATAGGTCTGCATTTGGCGCGTTTGATACATCATGTGAACGGTTAAGGAATGAAACATTAAGAGGTTGGATCCTTTAAGAAGTTGAATCATTTATTACTAAATTGTTCAATTGTATCAAACATACTTTAGTTTAATAAGATGATATGGACATTTTTTTTGCAAAACTTACTTTCACTTCTATGTATAATTCTTACAATTTAAAAAAAAAATTATATTCTTGCACAACCTGATTTTTTTTTTTTAACTTTTTATATACTTGTGCATAGATACATCCATCCATGCATTCATATGTACTAATATATATATATATATATATATATATATATATATATATATATATATATATATATATATATATATATATATATATATATATATAGATGGTTAATTTATTTTGAAAACTCAAAGGTATGCGAGAACTTGATAATTTTTTTCTAGCCAAATTTTTTCAAAGCCAATACCACAACACCATCCCTAGGAGCTCATCTAGGCTAGTTGTAGTTCAAAAAAAAAAAAAAAAAAAAAAAAAAAAAAAAAAAAAAAACTATAAATTTGCATATCTACAAAGTATATATGCAATCTAACGTCATCTCCAACCGTAACATAAAAATAACAATTTTCCCTTGCCAAAACTAAAACTAAGTAAGCCAAAGATAAGCAGCCATATATCCAACCCAACCACTAATTACCAAAACCCATAAGCAACACACTCAACAAATACCATCCATTAGAATCATATGCCTTTTTATAATCAAACTTAAAACTACCATTTAATTTTTTATTAATTCATGATGTTAGACATATTAGATGTTGTACTAGTTTAACGTTAGACATGGCTTCCATATTGGTTGCTATGACACGAAGTTTACTAGATCATGATGTTCTTACATGCTAACATTTATTCTAATGTAATATTTTATCATAAGTTTTGAACAAATATGAGTAGGTAATATTTTTTTTTAACGAACAGAAACATTTAAAAAATACTAGCAAGAAACTAGTCGAAGCTTTCAAAATTAATCCTGAGATAGGCAATACAACAAAATTCTAACAACTAAAGTCTTTTCTTAAACAATGGCATACTATTATGTTTGGCAGACTAAACTAGTTAATAGTTAGCTAAAAAGTTAATTGGTAGCTGATCAGTTGACTGATAAAAAACGATGTTTTGTAAATGATTGATATGAGAAAATTAAAAAAAAAAAACCTTCTATAAGTTAGCTGACAGCTACTTCGAGTAGCTTTTTAAAAAGCTAACTTATAAGCTACTTTTTAATTTATCAAATAGATAACTTAAAAAAATTTATTTTTTTTTTAAACTGGTTTATAAATTATTTTTTAATTTACCAAATAAACTATTTAAAAAAGTTTAAGAAATAAGTTAGTTGTAATTGTAACGTTACAAATTGAGTTGAACAATAGAATAAAATTTGATAATATCAACCAAAATTAGTTCAAATATATTTTCTGGATGGTCTCTATATTGTTTTTGTCTTGAGCCTACAATATGTTTAGACCGATCCAAATCTAAACCCGAACCGAACCGAATTAGGCCCAAATAAGTAATTCGATTCGGGTATCTATATTATGCTTATTCGGATATCAAGTTATTCGGTTCAGGTTATCCAAATAAGAGTTTATTCGGTTCTAAATATCCGACTCGAATAAGCATCCTCGTCTCCTTTCTTTTATCGACATAAATCAAAATCACGATTCACACTTCTGTCATCATCGTTCATAACAGAAAAAAGTCATACGCTCATTCTCGTCGTTTCAAAATCGACCAATCTTCACAACTATTTCCAAACTCGAAATCATTTTTTTCGATCCTTCCTTTTGTTTCGGACTTTCAAAAATCGGTATTTCCTATTGTCTCTAAGGATTCACGAATTCCTACGTTGTTTAGTCATGAAAAATTAGGCACCAACTCAAGAAACTCAAGTAAGAAGTTAATTCTCATTATGTTAATCTACTATGTAAATATTATTCTTTCAATGTGTTATTGTGTTATGTTAGTTTTTGAATGTTTTACGTTGATGCATAAAAGTACATTGTTATTCTATTATTGAGGTTATTTGGATTATAGAATCTTAATACGGTTTATTTGAGTTTTTTTCGATTATATTAAGTTTTTAATCATCTTATACATGTTATTCGAATAATAACTGAACCAAACCGATTAATACCCAAATCGAACCGAACTCATAATTGGTTAATCGGTTTGGTTTTCAGTTTATTCAATTATCATTATTCGGTTTTCAGGTTATTTAGATTTTGATCGGTTTGGTCCGATTTCAACCCGCGAACAAGATCCGTAGTCAAAAAAGTTATAATTTGAGATTGTGTCAATAAAACAAAAAAATAGAATGTATATGTGATGACATTTCTAAACCCCCCGTACACGTGGATCCCTCATGATCCCCGGGTTCCAACCTTCCACTTTCCAACGCTTTCCGTGAAATTACAAAGAATACCCCTCAATTATCTACAGATATGCATATCCCCCCTTTTTTTTATCATCTAAGTTCTAACTCTGCATATATTTTCTTTATAAAATTTACCTTCTGGTCACATTGTCATAATTTAATTGAAGTTAATACTTCTACCAACAAAAACCAGTACGTGGCGACATTCAGATTACTAGTGTATTGTCATCAACAAAGTATATTAGAATAATACAAAATATAATCTATAAATCTTTTCATTTAAATGGATAGCAAGAAATTTCAGTAACATTTTCATCGTTCTGTAAACACCTTCATGGAGAATGGACAGCAGCAGCCACTTCTCTCCGGCGACAACTGTCCCAATAACTACACAATCCTAAGCAGGTTACCGGCGGCGCCCTTGACTTGTCAAGCAGATGAAGATGGCGTGCAGATCAATGGAGTTGGAGATTTTTGTAAGGAGTTTTATGTGGAATCTAAAAGACTGTGGTATTTGGCCGGACCAGCCATCTTCACCTCCCTTTGCCAGTACACCCTCGGCGCCACCACCCAACTCTTCGCTGGACAACTTGGCACCATCCAACTCGCCGCCGTCTCCGTCGAGAACTCCGTCATTGGTGGCTTCTCTTTGTCCATCTTGGTATGCTTAAATCCAGTAATTAATACCAACGCATGCAAATTTCGTAGCTTTTGAAATTCATCTTCTTAAACTATTTTATTTATGGGGTGTAGTGTGGGATGGGAAGTGCTTTAGAAACACTATGTGGCCAAGCCTACGGCGCCGGAAAAATCGAGATGCTCGGAGTCTACCTGCAAAGATCATGGATAGTCCTTAACACCGCCGCCATGGTCCTCATGTTTACTTTCATATTCGGCGTCTCAGTCCTCCGCCTGCTCGGCCAGACAACAACTATATCAACGGCGGCCGGAAGCTTTGCCGTTTGGATGATTCCACAGCTATTCGCTTACGCCACGGTGATCCCAATAGCTAAATTCTTACAAGCACAAAGCAACATTATGCCTATGGCAGTGATTTCTGTGGTGGCAGCTCTCAGCCATGTGTGTTTGACCTGGTTGTTCATGGTGAAGCTCGGGTGGGGTCTAGCCGGAGCGGCGGTGGTTCTTGATGGGTCCTGGTGGTTCATAACCTTGGCTCAGATCGCCTACGTTATGTGGGGTTGTTGTGGTGAAGCGTGGTCTGGTTTTTCCTGGAAAGCTTTTCGTAATCTGAAAGGGTTTCTTCACATTTCGTTTACCACGGCCGTAATGTTTTGGTAAGATTCCAAGGAAAATTTAAAATCAGAATAATTAAGCAATATAAAATTTTTGATTTTCCAATTTTAACGATTTAAAGACCTTAAAAAAGTCGATACTTTTTCCGAAAACTCATCGTAGAACACTAGAACTTCACTCACACCTTAAAAAGCTGTCATGAATCAGTCCAAAAGTTTGGTCTGGTCAAAGCCCAGAACGGATTAAAAATCCGGTCCAATCTAATTACTTCACGGCCCGGTCCAAGCTCCAACCTTGTCCGAGTCACTAAAGCCCAACAAAACTCAGGCTATTATTTATTGTATGAATATAAACATTGTAACATTTGTAAGTGACGTCTTTGCAGCTTGGAGACTTGGTACATGATGTCGCTGGTTCTTTTTGCGGGGTACTTTGAAAATCCAGAAACCTCTGTTGATGCATTATCTGTGTGGTGAGAGTTCATGGACCCACCCTTGCAACCAACCTTGAAACCTTATTTATAACGCTTTTGTAGCCTATAAATTAAAAAAAAAAATTAAATTTTTTTGTTATTCTAATACATAATCCACAAAAGAAAAACATGTATGATGAAACTGTAGATCTAACCTTGTTTCTTAAATTGCAGCCTCAACATATTAGGATGGGTGTGCACAATTTCTTTAGGTCTCAATATAGCCGTAAGGTTTGTACCTAACCCCGATCAAAAACTTTCATTTTGGAAATTAGCACTAACAATTTTTAACGAATTTGATTTTTGTAATTGTTTTTTCATAGTGTAAGGGTGTCAAACGAACTCGGGTTCAAAAGACCAAGAACTGCCAGATTCACGGTGGTAGTCGTAGCCCTAACTTCACTTCTAGTTGGGCTTCTTTGCACTACAATTCTTATGGTGTACAAAAAAAGATACCCTTTGTTTTTCACTAGCAGTCCACAAGTAATGCAACTTATAGAAGAACTCACATCCTTACTTGGAGTCAGTATAATCATCACTAACATTCGGTTTGCTCTTTCGGGTATGCCAAATCACAACAGGGACACATTTTTACAATAGCGACACATGTCATACCTTAGTGGATGTTGAATTGGTGTTGCATATTGCAGGGGTTGCCATTGGAGCAGGGTGGCAGACCACGGTAGCCTATATGAATTTTGGGTCATATTTCTTTTTTGGCATACCGTTGGGTCTTTTTCTAGGGTTCATACTCGATATGGGTGTCAAGGTCATGTCTCGTTTATGGTACCTTGAAATTATTACAAGTGAAATGGTTTGATCTTGCTAACCATGATACTTTGATCTTTGAATCTCAGGGAATATGGTCTGGAATGGTTTTGGGAGCAAGCATGCAATGTTTCCTCTTGCTTATGATGGTTTCTCGAACTAATTGGAATGATGAGGTACGAACAAAATAATATATGTCATAAATGTAGGATATAGACATGCAAGTGGTTGTGGCAACAAAAATACTACCCAAATAAAAACACCAAATAATCATTTTCAATACATAAGGCTCTGTTTTTTTATGCATGACTAAACATCTGTCACTGGTATATACTAAAAGTGTATCAATAGGAAAAAAAAATGAAAGTTTGAAACTTTTATCCAGAGTGGAAAGCAAAAGATTTCAATGTGTTTCTGATCCTCATCATAATCGAATATAAAATAGAAAGCTTGGTCATTGATGTCTAGTGTTTTTCTGTCCCATTTGATAATGTAAGCTCCATGTCTTTTTGGGATATGCATTCACATATTCAGATTTTCACACTTGTATAATATGGAAATAAAATCTAAATGAACAACATTTGGTCTCTTATTAAAACACAGGCAAACATTGCAGGAGATAGAATCATACATTGGGGTGGTGACATTCTTAACAAAGACCATGACGAAGAAAGATCGAAAGAGCAATTCAAAGGCCATCATGACAAATGATTATTCCAGTATCGTATACTTGAGTTGATCAAAATCCAAATGACACTAATGTATAGGAGGAGTACAAGTGTTTTAGTGGTGTTAGTATAGCTGACTTACCTGATAAGATTTTGAGGTCAGATGGGTCCTAGACTCCTAGTACTTTAGTTTTTGTTATTAATATTTTAGCATGAGAGTTGTTCCGAGTGGTCCCTTTATCTTAAGACAAAACGACAAATCTTTCATTTGGGTAGTCATAAAACTTATTTACCAAATCATACTGATTTGAAAATTAATTACCAAAAGACAGTAATACAATTTTGAAAATAAAGAGTAAATCACACGAATGGTCCCTATAGTTTGGGATAATTTGCACGCTTGCTCCCTAATTTATTTTTTTAACTCGGAAAGTCCTTATTATTTGTTTTTGTTACATGTTTGGTTCATATTGTTTGTTTTTATTATGTCTTTGGTCCCTGTCTTATCTAAAAAAACTATTATTTAAATAAGAGAAAATAGTGGGGTAGGTGTGTTTATTTAAATAAATTAAAAAGTTTATAGAAAAACAGTTTTTTTAGGTAAAACATGGACCAAACTCGTAACAAAAAACAGATAGTAGAGACCTTTCGAGTTAAAAAAATATAAGTTAGAGACCAAACACGTAAATTATCCTAAACCATAGGGACCATTCATGTAATTTACTCAAAAATAAAATTCAAATGAACCTTTTTCTCCGGTTCTTCCCATCCCATTCTACCAGGCCATCACCACCAACCATCTCACATTGCTTCAACCACCAACCATCTCACATTGCTTCAACCACGGACCTTTTCTTCCATGCTAAAGTATACCTTCTGCACTAGCAGAAACACAAGTTTCTTGTGTTTCAGTTACTAGGTCAAATTGTAACCCAACAACATTCTAATGGACATAAACGTTCTCCTTGCAAAAAAAATTGCTTGAACTACAAACATGAATCAAACATTCAAACCTGTAACCCCGTGAAATATCTACCTGTTAGGCCCTATCTCGCTTTCCAAGTCTCATTTGGATGAGGCGCCGGCGCTACATTATCATCCATTTTTTTTCTTCTTACCCTGGATCTTTTTTCAAGTTTTCGGATATGGAGAATTAGGACTTTAATGGCAGATCTATGGGAAAAATGACAAAAGAAAAACATTATAAATTCTTATTTCGAAATGAATCCTTAAAAAAAATTCCTAGATTCTACGGATTTTCTTCTTATACTTTCATGAAATTATGAAAATTTTGAGGTAAAACTAGCCCCATTACCCATATATGGGTTTTTGGAAAGAGAACGAATAATGAGACAATAATGATCAAAGGCGACGCAATACCGCAACAGCTATGTGAGGCAACAGTACAAACGACAAGGAAATTATGGTCAACAACAAAGGCACAATTACACCTCGTTCCCAAGTTCAACTTAACGAGAGAAAGGAAAGAAAATTGGTGGAAATGAGAAGAAATGAAAAGAAATTGATGTTCCTGAGTTTCATTAAAGGATGGAAGTGGAAGGAAGTGGAGGGAAATAGGAGGATCACTTTCCCTCCTAACTTTCCTTCCGATTTGGGAGGATTTGTAAAGAAAGAACAAAATGATTCATTTTCCTTCCACTTCTCTTCAATTTGGAAACACAAAAGAAATTTTTTGTTTTCTTTTCCTTTCTCTTTTTTTCTCTCGTGATTTTCTTTTCTCTTCTCTTCTATTCTTTTGTTAAACTCGGGAACGGGGTGTTAGAGACGAAGAAGGCCTTTAAGGAAAACAGGGGAGAAGGTCACCGAAGACTATGGTTGTTTTGGGATTTTTTTTTTTTTGGGAAATTGTGTAATCTAACCCTCATAAATAATTTTTTTGACAAAAATAACCTTTTTTTGTAAAGTAACCATATTCTCCGAAAGTCATTGTTCGGAATTCTGGAGTACGATCCGGACCATGGTTCCGGAACACGTTTTAGTTTTTACCTTTTTTTCGTGTAACATGTGGTCTCTCTTTTAGTATAAATTTTGGTTTTATATAATGTATAAGTTTTGCTTTTAAAAAATGTATAACTTTTGATTTTATAAAATATAAATGCAATTAAAATCAACAGACAACTAATAAATACATAAACTAAATAAAGATGTGTCTATAGGTTATAATACGAATAAGATGTTCAAATTATCTTTGTCCTTGTACTAGAAAAAAAATTCACTAGTCATTTTCAATAACCCATAGCCCATGGACTGGTTTTACCCTCTATAGAAATAGGTTTTCCCGTGATCAACGCCTCCAGGAACTAACACAAAAACACCCCACAACCCCCTCCGTTGTGGTATGTCTGTGGCCTTTTCGAGGGTTATCTTGAAGCTCTCAAGTGGGATTGAATCATTCGGTACCCTAGTAGTTGACTCCCATTAGCAGTTTGTAGATGTGTGCTCTCATACCTATAAACAAATCCTCATTTTTTGAATAGTAGCCTCCCTTCCAATGACTATCGTATATAGTCATTTTGAATGTCTTCAAATCCAAAGCACCCAAAAACCAATGAGCATGTGATATATTGATTGACGAGTGCCCCTTTAGTAAAATTGTCTAGGACATGAGCATACACTTTGACATAACTATTAGACAGAAATTGGTTTTTGAAAGTCTACGAGTATCATATGTTCACGATTTTCTTTTGGCCATCCATATATAGGGTCTTGGCCAACATGTGTCACTGGTTGAGTATTGTACTATCCTTAAGTATAACCACATGATTCCCATATTTTCGATTGATGAGATATGCCTAGTCTATCGGAAGATATGCTTAAAGTCTTTTGGGGAGCATGCAGTACATTGTAGAGAGTTCCAACGTTTTCAAGTATCAACATGATATGGTAAGGAACGTTCTCTTTGATGTTTTTAGGCATGCCAAAGTTTCAGTCAAGAAAGAAGCACTTGTGAACTTTTTGGTTGATCTATTGGAAGGAAGATCAACACTTAGATCGGTCGACATTTTGGTTTTTAGATAGGTGAGAAGGAAACACACTTGTGTAGATCTAACTGAGATTTCTCCTCTTGTGGGCCTAGGGAGTGAGGGTTTCACGATGATGCAAACAACTTTTAAAGTTGCCTAGTGCACAGTGACGAACCACAAAAAAATGTGCATGTATAATCAACATGTGTTTACATCACATTTGAAACTTTTGGTTTCCTTGCGCCTGAGACATTAAACTCCTCAATATAGTCAAATCTGTCATGCATAGTAATGTTATGACCTCAAGATCTATAGATGTTTTTAAAAGAATTAGTTTTGAATCCTAAGAAGAAGTAGTGGCTCGGCTTTGTACAACTCGATGTAAACTCTTATATCTCGAAAGGAAAATTTAATAACATTGAACACAAATATAAAGACATGAAATATACTTAGTTTCATCATTGTTATGTAATAATGGTTGATCAACAAAATCTGTAAGATAAATTTGTGGAATATATATGACATTATGTGTGTCCTTACATAGTTACATAGTTGGACAACGTTATGAACGGTTGCCCTATTGCTTTTCTTCTTCTTTCATTTGTCTTATGTATGCGTTGTAGTCACCAAAAATCACCAATAAATGCAGTCTAAAAGACCTAGTATAGTGAAATACAAGCAAACCATTGTACAGGTTTCAACTGTTTTTAATACTACTACATTCAATCCATTTAATATAAAACTAATAATAATTTGTAGACGTACTCATGAAACGACAGAAAAGCACGACATTATACCATTTCTTTTTTTCAAGTTACATAAGGACTATGCTTAACATCAAAATTAAACATTCCAACTCCTTTACCAAAAGGATATAGTTGATAATGTAACCTTACATCCCTTAAGTTTATGGTTTTTTTCCTTAAACATTAATTTATCTCCAAGTCACTCCACAAACATGAGCAAACTTCCAACTAACGTTAAGCTAAGCTTAGAGTGTAAAAGAGCATAATGTTACAACATGCATCTCATATCACTACAACTTTATAAACCTCAAAATACAATCATTTAAAATGGCAACAAATATAACCAGGAAATCAATACTTTAAACAAAACAATTAACCATTCTCAAGGAGAGCATGTGCAATTACTAAATCTTAAAACATTTACTTGATACAAGTGTTTAATAGTATGAAGAAAGTAAATAAAGCTATCCTTGTACAATTGTCAAGACAATGATTGCAACCTTTTGGAATAACACGCACACATTGCTAGTAACAAAAAGAAAGAATCTATTATAAGTGAGCTTCCAAAGTTAACTTTTTGAGATACAAATTATTATAAACATATATTTCTCTGGATTTCACGATTCTCATTCTACGAATTGTACCCAAAAACCATATTTGATATAAGAATACATGACAAAGGGCTAAATGTAAGAAATAGCAATGCACCCTCATTTATCTGTTTATTATAGCACCCTACTTTCATTTTCTATTACAACATTGTATTTTCATTTTACTTTCTAATGAAGGCATCATACTTTGAAAAATCTACCCAATTACTCTTTTATTTTACAAATCTACACAATTATAGCAATGAAAATTGCTTGGTATTTAGATGGCAATGCTAGGATAGGGTAGATTTTTTCACAATATAATGCAGTAATATGAAAAAAAATATTAAAAGAGACAAGAATGGGACAAAAAATTGCAACTTTTGTCCTATTCACATCCCCAGTCCACTGCATGCCAAACACAGTACAACCACAACCACAACCACAACCTGTTCTATTCTATTATATACCGTGTATGTAGTATTTAACCTGAAGTGTTTTACATTGAGATTTGAGATTAAGTAGGTAATGTTAGCTGTTTAATCTCCAATCATAAGGCTGATATACCACTTTTAATTGACTCTTATTAAGCAATTCCAAAAGGGTTCGTGTCTTTTCAACTTCCAAATAATTTGCAGCATGTTTCAGTACCTCCACTGCATTCTTCCCAAAATCCACACTGTACCTATCATATTTCACAATCTCATCTCATCTTCTTTGTCAGGAGAAAAAAAAAAACAGATTCTATAAATATGTTTTCATTGCAACTTAACTTACCATTTGAGTATTTTAGTAACTGATATTGTCATGGAGTCCACATGAAGTACAAACGCCCCACTTTGTAAGAAATCATGAGCAGCCTCCACCAATTCCACATCAATGTTTTTAGGAGAATAGCATCGAAGAGCAGGAGCAGATCGATTTCCAGAAACCAGTGCAAAGTGTATAAGAGGCTCAGCATAGGGAAGAGACACCTGGAAAACATTTATATATACATTTTCTAAGGAGAAGTTGAGAAATATATATATACACCTGAAATATATATATATATATATATATATATATACACAGACCTTAAAGCGTCTATCATAGATACCAAAGGGCTTTATGAGAGTATATGGTGGTCTTTGGTTGCCTCTTAAAATGCCATTATAGATGTCCGAAAGGGAATATGCACACCCACCAATAACATATTTGAACTCATTGAAAAGTTTCCTTCTATCCAATGCTCCTTCAGGATGACCCCACACAAGTATTGCATGAATCGCCATTAAATTGTATAGGTTGATAAAGAAAGCAAGTCTTTCCTCCTTCGCAGTTCTATTTAGGTCAACTCTTTGAAGTTCTTCTGCGATCCTTAAGAACCTTTTTTTTTTATAAAAAAAAAAAGAAAAAAAAATGAATCGCTTTTAGTCGAAATCGATTGAGAGTTAAGAGAGAGTATATGAACTAACCTTGCAAACTCCTCACTCCCATGGATAGTTCTATAAGCAACATGCCTTCCATCTTCTGATATATAGGCTTCAAGGATGGCATATAGTAAAAATCTCAGCCTATGTGAAACTTCTACAAGAGGTTGTCTCTTAGACTGAATGATACCCCTTGGGATGTTTTGACACTGACTTATTACAGGATCTTGATCCAAAAATCGGTAAAGGTGATTGCCATCTTCAAAAGTGTTTTCTCTAGGTTTATGCACACAAACAAATATCAAATCAGAAACAGAGTAAAAGGAAGGGTGACACAGATTTTAGCTCAAAAAGTTAAAGACTACTCAGTACTCACTCAAGAACATGCCGGAAGAAAAGCTCCTTAGCAAGCTTCCGGGCGAATTCAATAGCCTGTTTGTGTGTGAAATGACATTAGAGCCCTTAATCAGAATCAAACAACTATAATAATAGACTAAGTTGAGTAAAATTTGTAGCGATTGATGAAGATACTGAAAGAAGAAAGTATTGGACTGTTGGTACCTCTTCTCGTTCCAAGAGTTGATCTTCTGACAAGAAATCTACAGCTTCTGAACCCAGAAAACAATTGGTCACCCTCCGAAATTTATAAAAACGATCCTTAACAACAATTGATTCCTTCATCTTCCGGACTATAACTGCTAATTCATCTACAATACCCCTACTAGACTCGTCATCTTCCCCTGAAAATGGTGGTAGAGGACCTTTTGGCGATGGCCCTTGGGAAGTTACATACTCTATTTTCTCCTGTAGCTTACCAGACTCATCCAAATCTTTTAACTCATTCAACCCTCCAATTGGGAACTGATTGAAAAACACTCTAGGCACATCTGAGGAGCCAGTCATCTTTTCTAGCTCCAATTTTCTACCTGGGTATACATCGACATTGATTTCCAAATACCTGAGCCTTCTCTTACGTAGAAATAGCCTTGCTTCTTTGCAATCTTGGCACCATAACCTTGTATATAGTACAACCCTTCCTTTCATTGCTATTGATTTTGGTGACTCAAGACTCACACTCGCCTCCTTTTTGTTCTTTCCTTCATCCTGATCCTTCTCTTGTGTTGTCTCTTGGCTTTCTCTTTCATCTGTCTTTACCTCCTTTATGTTTTTGTTATTTTCATCAGAATCATTCTGCGCATCAGTTTTTCTGGAAAGACGGTGGAATACATTAGAGACTGCATATAAGCTCTTCAACTTTACAAACTTCGTGAGAACTGAAGCCTTTCCGGGATTGCCTTCCATTATAGGTTCCAAAGTTCCATCAACTACAAGCCCTTCTTCCTTCTTACTACAAGTGTTATCTACAAGCCCTTCTTCCTTCTTACTACAAGTGTTATCTTTAGGGTCGGTTTGATCGTCCTCTGTTTTTTCAGATGATGAACTTTTACTGATACCCTCATGATTATTCAAGTCATCACCAATCTTTTCACCATCCTCTGCAGAAGTGACATGGCTAACATCCTTAGAAGATTCTTCCTGAATATGATGGGCCTCCGTTTCCAACTTTTCAGTAGGTTGATGGTCGACTTCGACCGTTTCAGAAGAGTATTCCAGATCCTCCTCCTCTTCGGTGTCTTTAATGCAATCCAATATCTCCCCCTCCCCCTCTTTGGTAATGGAATTTAGTGTTGTATCATTTATCGAATTATCCGTCTCCTTGTCTTCCATAGTTACCTAAATCGCTCAATGCCCACGATCTACGTTCTGAACGCGCTGTACCCAAAAGCGGTACGGAGTCGTACCAAAACGCAGTCGGTATGCGAATCGGATCGACAGTCAAGGCGCGCCAAATCGAGAACGTAAAAGGTCCGACCGATAAGGGAATCGCCTATTGGATCGGATTTTTCCATGTTCAGCCTCAATTGCAAACGTCGACCTGGACGCCGACTCCTAATTTGGCGGGAATTTCAGCGACGCTTCTCAATTTCGGATTTATTGGACACAATTGTTGATTTGGTGTGTGCGATAGTAAGAATGAAGGAAGGCAGAAGACGCGAGAAAAACTGGAGAATGACAGCAATGAATCCAATCAAGAAAAGCATGGCAGCATGAAGAAAGTTTGTGTCAAAGAGCGTTTGAGGGATCACTTTCAACATTAATCAACATGACAAGATGAAGAAGGTTCGTATAACGGACATGCCCTAATTGTGATAACATAAAATTTGTAAATGGTGTTGTGTTTTAGTGTTTGATAGTGTAAGAAAATTAAAATGATTTATAGAACTTTACCAATACAATATTATTATTGATGTTTTACCTAAAGATTTGTTAGAACCAGAAAACTCATCGTGAGTTGAGACTTGAGAATATATAGGATTTAAAATATGTAGTTTTGAATTTCAACTGTTTTTTTTTTTTTTAATTATATTTATAACTTGAATTTTCTGGACAGTTTATATATATATTTCTAATCATTTTTCCTACCATATTTGAAATTTTGAAGCAACAAAGAAATATTTGATATGTCTCTTCTAAAACGCGTTTTCTTATTCCATAAAGACGTATTGTGTTTTGCAACACATTCATCACTTCATGGGTAAGAAAAAGAATATGCCTAATAAAAATAATTATATTATATTATATTATACTGTAGTTTCAGTATTAAATAATTGATTTTTTTGTACATACCAATTTAGTGATTTTGTAAACAAAAATTTACAATAAGTTAAAAAAATATTAAAACCCAAACGATAAAAGCAGATACTATTTAATATTATTACTTTGTATCTTAACTTATAATCCAATCAAGTGAGCATATAAATAAATTGTAGATAATGGATATGATAAGAAATGAAATCGATACCAAAAGAACATGGAAATCAGAAATTTCAAAGAAATTATAACGTGAGCCACACAGTAGCGACTTGGAAACGAGACACGTGTTATGTAGATCTCCTGGCAAAAGAAAACGACACCTACCCAAGATAGTTTACACATGTCCTATTGTGACTATGCCATGTGTCTTGTTGAAAGATAATAAATTAAAGATAATAAATTTGATTTTGCAGTTACTGGTTACTTGGATCTTATAAGTAGTAATTATTGGTGTTTTTAATAAAATAGGATTTTATTTTATATTTTTAATCAACTTTCACACTTAAGAGAAGTTAAATTTTTAAAAGTTATAATTCATTCTTATATTTGATCCTTGATTATTGGCGGGTTAAAATATTTTTAGGTTTACTTATAATTTTAAAGCCTTTATTGTATTTTTTAGTGTTTTTAGAAATCAACTTTTGAAAAAAATCCAACAATAAATTTTAAATCCTTTAAAATTACGTAATATAGAAGGCTGCGTTTATATGAATTTTCATGATTCATAATTTCATTATAAAATGAATTCATTTATAATATATAATTGAGTATATATTTAATGATTATGAATCAAATGGATTTTCCAAATAATTAAAATTTTATGTTTAGGTAGATTTTTTTGTATTTATTTAATATTTTTTTAAACTAATCTATAATATTATTAAAAAAAAATTAAAAAGAAATAGGAGTTTCAAATGAATATGATAAAAGGAATATATATATATATATATATATATATATATATATATATTATATTTGGAGGTTCACCTGCAGTGCCTCATGTTTACAGCGAGGGATTGGTCGGTGCATGAAAACATGCCCGAAAACCCTCGTTAGGAGGTTCGCCTGCAGTGACTCCAGGATATGAGGCAAAACCTCATGTTTGCAGCAAGGGATTAGTCAGTGCGCGAAAGCAGCCCTGAAAATCCTCGTTAGGAAAGTTCCATTTCAAAAAAAAAATTCCTTTATATTATATTATATTAGCAAAATTTGGTTAAATGAAGGGGGATCTAAAGCAAGGATTCATAACAGCGTAAAGGTATTTTATGGATGGATGGTTGTTTTGTGAATGGGAAATATCCAGGTCAAGTGTTATCAGTAGTGGGGTTTGACAAGAATAATGAGATTAACCCATTTAAATATACTTTGGTTGAAGCTGAAAACAAAGATTCGTGTACATGGTTTTTGACACACTTGGGAGAGGAGTTGGAGATGGGAAGCAACTCTAACTTCACGTTTATCGGTAACAGATAAAAGGTAAGCAACTCACATTCACTTTTTTTTTTGTTTTCTTTTGTAATTATTAAGCCTAATTATGTGTTTGAAAAGGGGTGATACCTGCAATTGCCCAATTGTTTCTAAATGTTGAGCATCGATATCGTTTGAGGCATATCCATGAGAACATGAGACTTCAGTGGAAGAGTGATGACATTGTGGATCAAGTGTGTATTTGTGGCCTGGCAACAACAGAAGTACATTTCAATAAGGCCATGGCAGATTTGTAGAAAACAAACAATGAAGTTCATGCATGGTTTAGTAAGATTTCACCAAAACATTAGTCTGTAAGCCATTTTTATGTTATGTGTACTATAATATTCAGTTGGTGCATGTTATATTATTATGGATGAATGATCATTTTTTTTAATATTTTCATTGTAGTAAATGTATAAGAAGGGCACATGTATATGCATTATTGAATAACATCTGTGGGGTTTTCAATTCAAAGTTGGAAGAGGGAAGAGACAAGTCTATTATCACATGTGTGAAGTTTATAAAGGATTACTTGATGAAGAGGTTTAAAATGATACAAAAAGCAATCGACAATTGTGAAGGAGCATTGACACCATATGCCATCATAATTTTAGAACAAGCAAAAACGGATGTTGATTAATACACGTGCATATTTGTTGGCAATAACAAGTACCAGGTTAGTGGTACTCCCATGGATCAGTTTATGGTAAATATGAGGGACAAAAGTAAGGTATATAAGATCATAACTAAATTGGCATAAACTTGTAATTAGAAGCAGAGTCCTTTTTAGGTTGACATCATAATAAGAAATTCATTAGAATGACATTTATAGAGAGATAAAATAATTTATTGGTTTATTATATGATTTATAAATTAATTAGAAATAAATTAAATTAATTAATAATTGATCAAAATTAATTTGGGATCAATTGAATTAATTAGAAGTGCAAGGGTTACTTTGTAATTGCTTAATAGTTAAGCAAAAGAGAGATTCTTGAAACCTCCTAGTATGTATGGTTTTGAGATACCTTTTAAGGTAATCTAAAATGCTTCATTTGATATAAGGAAAGTAGATAATCATTAGGATTTGAAATAATATTATTTTATGTTCAAATCTAGGGTTTCTAGGGTTTCCTAGCAGCTATATAAAGGGTCACAACCCTCAGAATTTTCAATCATCATTCTAATAGAAACCCTAACTGAAAATCTCCCCCCTCTCCCCTCTCCTCTCTTGTTTTCTAGTTTCTAAATTTAGTTATGATTCATTAGAGGCATCATACTTTTGGTGCTTTCTTTCTGAAGATCTACAAGGAAAGATTCAAGGAATTGTTTGCTATAACAACTCAAAATATATATAACCCTAAATCTAGTGATTTTGATTTTATTAGGGTCCTTGCAGGGTTTATATTTCATTGTATGTTGTCTTTAATGTGAAGAAATAGATCCTTATAGGTTTCATATATTCTTAATTGTTAAGTGTTATTTTTTTATATGTACATAATTTTCGTAACCTATAAAAACCATCAAAAAAATTATACATGTAAGATATGGGAGGTAATTGGTATATGATGCAAGCATGGAGTAGCTATAATATTTGACATGTTATATAATGTAGTGGAAGTTGGAGTTCCTGAAACCTGAGTAGATCCTTGTTTTTGGTTAATAACATGGAAAGATATGTGTAGCTATAAGATTGGTCAATGTAAACCAGGTGAGAGTAAAAGAAAATGGAGGAAATGTCAAGAAGAATGGCAATGAGAAAGTCAAGGGGAAGGGACCAATGGCCTAAGTGTTATCAAATGAACTCTTATTTGTGTTTGAATATGTTAGAAAATGTTTGTTTTTTTTGGTTTGCTTATGTTGTGAAAGCACTTATATGTAATCTGTAGTGCTTTTTAAACAATCAACAGTATGGATGTGTTTAAGATAATTTTGTGTAACTTTTGTATGTGGTTTCATACTACGGTAATATATGTGCCTATTATGGTAACACAGTTTGCCAATAATTCTAGTTGTATATGTAATGATCATTTTTGCTTACTACATTACTAGTAAGTGAACCATTATGTCATTGAAAAGAAAATACAATTGCACCATTGCACAAAAAACAAACACATTTCCATTAAGTAAACCATAAACTTATCCATTATACAAACACATTTCCATTACACCAAAGACATGTCCATAACAACAAAAAGATTAAAAAAACAATTACAACCCCTAAACTAGGATCATAACACCACTTGCTACATATTTCACATCTTCAACCAAATAAAAAAGGAAATTTAAAATCCAAGCAAATACGCATAAAAACTTGAACATTCTAACATGTTGAAGAGCTTCTTTGAGCATGTTTCATCACCTCAACAAGTCGGGAATGATTTGCATAGATCTATGACATATTGGTAGATCGACCCATCCAATGAATATGCACTTCATTCCAGAGTTCGAGCACGCCCAAAACCTTCGACCTAGCTTGTTTTCGGTTCATGATGCCATAATCACAACTCCTCGACCACAGAAGAAAACGATCATTTTCATCTTTATGTGTAATGGTGTAACATCCGGATTTCCAGGTATCATAATTTAAGTATTTGTTTTTTAGATGAGAAGGGGGACTCGACGAGTTTACGCCTAAACTCGTTGAGTAGGATTGCGATTGATGACTCAGATTAATGAATGGACTCGACGAGTCAGAGAGTCGACTTGACGAGTCTGCGCTGTGGACAGAAACCCTAAATCTTTGGGCATGTGCCTTATTTAAGGGTCCTTATGGCCTTCATTTGCGGCCACTCATACCCTTGAGAGACACCATTCGAACCAGAGAGCATAGAGCGAGAGTGTGGGAGCTAATTTCTTCACCTTAGAGCATTCTTGCAAGGAAGAAGGAGGGGGTTCAACCTAAGCTGATTGAGGAGCTCAAATCTTCTATCACTTTATCAAAGGTTGTTGTTTGAGGTATGAATCCATGCCTATTTTCGTGTATAAAGTAGATCTCATGAATCTAGTGTTTCTTTACCCCTTCTTTAGTTGGAATATGGAGCATGTAGAGTCCCATTGAGGAATAGACATTAGATCTGGACCTTGAGAAGTCCAGAGAGTCCCAATCATCCAGCTTTATGCGGTCCCATTGGGGTTTTGAGTATAGGTTGTCATTTTAAGGGCTATTTCTTCAAATAGAGCTTGATGTGTGGTGCATGGACGTAAAGATTGAACCTTTATGTGACTTTTGGGTGCTAGAAGGCCATAT